CTTTTTCAAAATAAAGAAATTCTTCATAGGGATTGAAACTTGCAACCCACCCACATTCAGCAAGGTTAGCTCTGTGTTTGTACTTTGTATTACTGTAGCCTTGTTTTTTTGTAGACTGCGTTCCTTCAGCTTTCCCGAGGACACAGATGTTGAATCGACTCCACTGCCGGATGGAGAGGAAGGAGAAATTCCGTATCATCCTCCAGAGATCACAACTCTATACTCTGTGTCTGCTCGGCTGGAGCCTCTCTTTCTGAATGCAAACAAGAGGTCTGTATATTTTCCTAACCCTGCCTCTTCATACTTCCTCCTGTTCGCATGGGTCGGACAGCAGGGGGACATAGCAGGGAGAGTTGGAGCTTGTGTTTCTTTAAAAGAGACACTGAATCCCAAGCAACTCCGGGAGAGCTGCTGATAATTGGCCTCACCCTCTGACCAACCTGTGAACTGATAGGGCAATATTTGTCTTACACAAGCTGAAGAATTCCTGGTCTTTAGCTGCGTCTGAAATCATACGTTTGATTGCTAATTTATTGCTCCATCTATAGTTTAAGTAGTTTTCCCCATAGGGACCCATAAATTCTGGAATGGAAAAATGGTTTCCATTGTAAATTGGGGTTTTTGGCAGAAGGTTTTTCATTTGCTTTTTTCCCATCTATGAAAAGCCATGTGTTACTAATAGTACATCATCAGTACTGTAGAGTTTTCTTAGATCAAACGTAGCAAATTGCGCTAAAACAGAAATAGTAGTTTTCTTGGAAGATTCAGTGAACTGCCAGTTGTCATGTTCTTTCTAAGAACTACAAGCAGCCTTTCTGTCATGCAATATATTATTTTCATAATAAAATTAATTTGTTAAACTTTACAATTTCCCTTCAAACTGCTATAAGTTCAAGGATCTTCTCTCACTGAAACAACTCTGAAAATAAAGCCAAACAATAGCAGGTGCAGCATCATTTTTATATGTGTAACATCATTTTTTTAGCATGTTTATTAGATCAACAAATACCAGGACATTGACCCTTTTCTCTTTTTCACTCATCTAAATGATTTTCCTCAGTTCTTTGTTCCTCCATACAGAGGTTTTTGTCAAAGCTGCTGGCTTGTGGCTCTGGATAGCTTTAGCTTTTAGCCACTTTGTCTGTGTTAGGTTCTTTAAAATGTCCGTGCAGCTGGGTGAGGGTGATTGAAGGGTCGCGTTAGGTTTACTTTGTGTCTTCATCACGCTATGGGCCACAGCCTCACACTAATAACATGTGGCTGTAAGATTGTGAGCAACTATTAGCCTGCGACGCCATGTGCATGTTGCACATGTTGCACATGTTGCACATGCATGAAATAGAGAGGCTCATAATCGAACATACATCAGGCTGACCAGCTGGTCACCAGTCCAGGTCAAGAACACAGAAAATTGTCCTGACTCTGCTCCCTAGCTCAGTGGATGGGTGCATCTCTGTAATTGTTGCCCAGCTGCCACATTGTAAAAAAATTGCAACTCATTCAGCCTCTTACCACACATCTGTCTTCTAAAGTGGAGATGGCAAGTTAACACGAATAAAGCAAAACGCATGACAATGCTTTCTA